AACTCCGAAAGCACAGTGCCCAGACCTATCGTAATTTCACCCTGCAGCCTTGAGCAGTTTTTGCAAGCGATTGTGAAAGGACTTTCCTCGGGCCGCTTGCCTTCTCTAAACAGTTTCCATTCAAACAAGCAATCCTTCGATTCCTGATAGCTGAGAGACCCAACGTGGTCATCAGCCGTTCTCGATCACCAGGCCTGTTTAGTCTCACTCACCCTCTTTCAAGACCTCACGCAGTCCAATTCCCCATCATAAAGCGTACGAAAGCAAACTAGAGTCGGGTTAATTGCCCTCAATGACCCTTAAAAATAAGCCATCGCTAACACATTGATAAAAGTACAAAAGTTGTATTGTTGCATTAGTATTTGTCACGCCGCGCAGTGGGACACTGGCCTGGAAAATCTGGTCTAAAATATTTTAGCATTATTTTAAAATCTAAAGCCATAATGTTATAGATCGTTGGATTCGTTTTAACGTCAATTACAACAATATGTAGTAGTGAAAAATAGAATTAAAACTGAACATATTGGATTAGTTATAGCTCAAAAAATACCAGAGATATAAAAGTTTACTTTGGTGTAATCTAAATGCATATGAGGTAAATTTAATTTTATCACTTATCATTTAACTTGAAGAACCAAAGTAATTTTTCAAAACCACGTAGTCGTGTTAAAAATCGACAAATGATAAAAAGAAATGAGAGTAAATCATGGCCCGTGGATGGAATTAACTATTGGTGAATGAATATTTCATTGGGGGTATACAGTAAAAGCTGGATACATGCAACAAACATTGAGTAAGAGCCGAAACGTATCGCCGTGACTAATACGAATTGAATTATAAAACTTTTTTATTTTAGACTTTTTTTTTAATGAAACTTTTACTAGCGCATTGATGAGATTTTTCTGATTAAAATGATACCAAACACGATACAGTTTGAATTGTAATTACTTGCTAAATTTGGCGAAAAGTCAGAGAGATGGAATCAAAGCGTTGCATATATCCAAGCGAGGTGTTGGTTTTGTAGGGGGGATAGTAATCTTGCATATATGCAGGTTTTACTGTATACGAGACTTCAAGAAATGTCTATTCAAACTCAATTACAACTGAATATTATTGATGTGATGGGTTAGATAAGGTTATATATCTAAATTCGCCTGCCGCGTAAAGCGGCCGGCAACGTTTTTCTGAAATAATAATAAATTAATTATAAAAAGAAGTATAAAAAGAAATTCTAAATAAAAATAATTTGTTATTATTTCACGAAAGCGTTGCCGACCGCTTTACGGCGGCCGGATGTACATATATACCCTAACCTAACTTATGACATCAATAACATTCACTTGTAATTGAATTTGAATAGCAATGACATCTGTTTTGTAGAACATATTCAATTAGTATAGAAATTATGATTAAAAAGGTGTCGTTGGCCAAGAGTGGATGCTAATATAGTTCTTCAGGTATAAATGGGGTCATTTCTCTTGTGATATTTATTGCTTTCAGACCAGCGGTGTAGATAAGCAACCATAATAGCGAAACGCACGACTCGCCTACCTGCAACGGGGATACATACACCGCATCCTTTTCCAGCTCATTATAACGGCAGTTTTGTATTATCCATCGTTTTGAAGAGCTCATTTTAAAGGGAAAACTTCAGAGAATATGACCATATTTTTTCAAAATGTAAATCAGTTCTATCCCTCAACGGAAAAAACGCAAAAAAAGAATGTAACATTTTTCGACATTATAAAGTGAATTATGGAGGTTGAAAAAATTATTTTGTAACAGCCCAATCCTTTGTGAATGAAACACAATAAAATCTGAGATAAAAATTCGTAAGTGAAGCCCGTTTTCGTGAAAGCGGGCAGAAATTGCAAACTTCGAAGGTCTGTAATTTCTAAACAAATTAGAAATCGGCAAAACGATGACTTAAACCCCCCCCCCCCCCCCCCCAAATGTTACATGGAGTACAACCTACAATTTCAGTTTGGCATGAAATGACTTTTTTAATAATATGTCCAAAAATCATCGAAATCGGGAAGGACGTATTGGTTCTGCAGTTTTATTAAAAAAAGGAATAATAATAGCAAGAAAAAATAATGATAGTACATGTTGTGACACATGGCTTGAAAATCGCTATCCTAATCGATAGAACGATGCGTGAAAAAAAAATTCACCTATCGCAGTTCATCGCCTCTTCCAGGCTCGAATTTCCCATTCTTCACGATACATTATATCGTCGCCGACGGTTCGGTCGACGCACACATATTCACATATACGAGCTGCGAATGAGCGCGCGGTCGAGCATAGAAAACGACCGAACTGCGCCCTACAGAATACACGCGAAACTAAATTTCTGGTCTGTTTTACCTTGTTGACGTCTTTCGCGAATGAACAATCAACGAAATCGTAGTTTTCAAATTACTTCTACCTGGAGACTTGTACATCATCCCTTGGGTGCTCGTTTTATTCTATCCGACCCAAAGAATATCAGTCTGGACCCTATTTGGACAATCTATTGGCAGAAATGTTTATATTATGAATAAATCAATGCAGGTGAGTCCGTTCCGCCATTTTCTTGACCGTTGACAGACAGTAATTTCAATATTTTATAAGTTTTTGACGATTTGGATAATATAAGGACCAGACAAATATTCTTTAGAACCTCCTGAACACGCCCCACAAATTTTTTTACATTCTGTTTAGAAATGAGGACGTAATTTGAAAACTAGCATCTAGGGATTTCTCTAGGGACTGTCGGTAAAGTTTTCGACGCTTGCATCACCTTAATTACCAGGTTTCCCATACCGCAGTCAAATCGTTATTGGCAGCATCGTATATCGGGTATTTTTAATTTTGCGCCGCCTCCGAAAACTGAAATGTATTTGGTATCCGATTTAACGATTAAGTAGATAATATTAATAGCTATGGAATATTGGTATAAATGAAATAGAAAATAGAAATATACTGATCCCTTCCCACAGATCAATGTACATGTAATAACAATATCATTAGTACTATATCTACATTCGATATAATGTAATATACTGATTCCTTCCCACAGATCAATGTACATTTAATAACAATATCATTAGAACTACATCTACATTCGATATAATGTCATATAGTGGTACATTCCAACAGGTCAATGTACCTACATTTAATACCAACGTCATTATTACCATGTCGACACTCGATATATCGTAATATACTGATTACTTCCCACAGATCATTATACATTTAATAACAATATCATTATTACTATATCTTTATTTTTTTTTAAAAAGAAAAAAAAACCCACCACCTCAACTTACCTGTGTCTGTATAGACCGCGGTAAGCCCGGAACCACCTTTCGGTATTGCTTCGACCCTCCTGCTAATGATCACCACTATTTTCCTTCCTTCTCTAATTTTTCAATACTTCCCCCAATATATACAGAGGGGAATGCGACTTCTCCCCTTTCCATTATTGCTGTTGCGTGTCCGTCGCGGAAAAATAGGGATATTCGGGGATTTAGGTGCAGGTGTGACAGTCCGTGGAGCGCAGAGGCGCTCCGCTCTCAAGGCGCGGATATACAACATAATAAACTGTTATTTTGTTTAGAATACTTTAATACTTTGTATTTCAATTTAAATCGGAACTTTAAACTTTGCGTTATCAAGGCTTAGACCATTGAAGACTTACTTTCACGTTAATAGGAAGATATGTTATGAATGAAAAAGCTGTTTTTTTTTGTAAACACCTTTTTGTATAAGGGGGAAGGTGTAACGTGAAACGTTATCACGTGAATATGTTTAGAGTGATGTGGCGACACTGCCATAGGAATATTTATCGATAGTCTATTGTATCGATATGTCTTGAATGTTCTTTGAGGACCTTTGTATCGATGGTCATAAATTAAGAGCGAAATTCGAACATCATCTATGCGTACCCTTATATAAATAGACAAAGAGTAAATTGTAAACCCCTCGACGTGGGTGATAGAGCTGAGAGAAGGCCGGAAGTCCAGAGAATGGAATAGTTTCACTTTGAAAATTCCTAAAAAACTAATTTATGATAGACCATAGCCAATTCGTTGTTTTCGACCAAGTCATGAACGGTCGTTAAGGGTTACGAAGTCTTTTTCGATATCCTGTCTTTTCATGCACTCTAAGAGGGTCGTAAATTTCCTCAAGAGTTGCTTTGGCAAATACAAGGTCTTGTCGTTTCCTAATTTCTCTGGGTCCCACGCTTTCTCGTAGCACATGTGCGCTGCAACATTCTAGCGTCTTGGCGGAGCGCCTCCACTTCCACGCGCTTGAGGGTGGACCACAGCCAGGAGAAGGGGCCCACACGAGACGGGGTGGACTCCTCCACCATTGGACGAGGGATGATCCTGAGGGAGGATCCAGGATCCACCAAGGAAGGGGCATCGACCGGCAACGCGCGAAGATCTCCTCCGCCAAGCGCAGAATTGTTAGAATGATTTTGTTACTCGTTACGAACAAGTCGTTCTCACTCAGAAGGGTCTAAGCCTTAATAACGCAAAGTTTAAAGTTCCGATTTAAATTGAAATACAAAGTATTAAAGTACTCTAAACAAAATTACAGTTTATTATTTTGTATATCCGCGCCTTAAGAGCGGAGCGCCTCTGCGCTCCACGGACTGTCACACCTGCACCTAAATCCCCGAATATCCCTATTTTTCCGCGACGGACACACAACAATTGCATTCTATCCTATTGTTTTAAATTTACATTAACATTTTTGTAAATCCTAATTTTTACTTTTATGTGCAGAATAATCCATTATTCTCTTTTCATACAATATGTATATCTAATTGTTCTTCTATCCATCCTCGCTATTTCTCTTCTATGTTATTTGTCTTCTCTATCTCTATTTGCTATCTGGTGTTATTTCCCTATTCTATGGCTGTAGCTTACTCCGTACTTCGTATCCCATGTGTGTCCTTTTTCTATACTCTCAGCGTTAGCGTGAGTTTCCCTCTCGTTTTCATTCCCATACTCTATGCTCCTAAACATGGCGTATCACATTCATCTGTCAATTCCGTATATAATTTACCCATGTAACTAAATAATCATTGTTTCTATGTTTCTTTCAGGTCGTAATTACATATATATATACATTTATACATATTCTACATTACTACATCTATTCCTTACATGCAAAGCTGTCCAGGTAATATACAGATCCATGGGTTGGTTTACCAAGATACTTGTTGCGTATATTTTTTATACAAACCCTTTTTACATCCTTGTTTATATTTTTAGTTCTACATATGCCATTTCGCCTTACTGGTTGACCGTATGCGGACATACTCTACTAAATACTCTTGTTCCATGTCTAGAATACCGTAAGTATCTTTTCTTATTTCTTTTTAGCTTGCTCATCCCTTTATATATATATATTATTTACCCGCTGTCTTTATCACTTAGAAATGTAGTAGGTTTACTACCCGCCAAAGTGCTCCGTTTCAGTCTCAAGTAGAGATTGGACGGCAACATCCTTAACGGGTGTTCCAAGATTTCTTCTTTAGACATTTCATATTGTTCCCTTCCTTTGCACTCATATTTATTGTTTACCTCACATGAACTGTTTTTTAACTTACTTATTTTTCTGCTAGTTAAATAAGTAAGTGGTGAGTTTATTCTTTGTCTTCTTATATTATATTTTCTATTCGTCAATTATACAATGTCATGCTTTTAAGATTGCAAAAAGTTCTCTTTTGTCATCTTCTGTATAACAATTTTCTATATTTCTTTTTGTCCAAGCTACATAAAATCTTTGTCCTTAAATTAGAATTCCCTATGTATAAATAAGTTGTTAGTCAGGTGGATAAAATAAATAAATAGGATAAATAAATTGTTAAAATCATATATATACATAAGATTACTAATTTTAATCTTCTGATTCTAGTGTTCCCCATTTCTTCTACACGGCTCTCTTGTGGACTTTTTATATTATCTGTTTAACTGTCATTCACACGTTTGTTCCTGATGTTTCATCTTTTTCTTTTTCAATATTACCGTAAGTATTTACTTATTTTTTATTTATTTATACCCCGTTTTCCGAGAGGGACTAAGTCCAGTCCTACTGGTGTGTTTTCTAATCTTCTATTTTCCTTCCTTTGTCTTTGTTTTTCCCTTTCTTTTTCCTTTCTTATTCGCTCTCTTATTTTCTCCCTAACTTCTTTTTCCCATTTTTCCTTTTCTTTCATTATCTTAATTAGATATTCCCTCACCATTGGGTTCTTCTTTGTATCTTTTAGTAATTTTTCCATGTTATTTTCGTTCCATGTTGTCGGGTATATATTTCTCTTCAGTTTTTCTCTTTCTTGTGCCCATTTAGGACATTTAAACAAAGTGTGCTCTGCATCGTCTCTTTCTTCTTCACAAAACCAGCACTCTGGTGTTTCTTCCTTCTTTATTTTGTGCAGGTATTTACCAAAGCACCCATGCCCTGTGATTGCCTGTACCGTGTGGTAATCCAAGGTTGGGGCTCCTCCACTTTTCCATTTCTTAATACTTGGTATTATCTTGTATACCCATCGTCCTTTATCGCTGGCCTCCCATTCCTTCTGCCATTCCTCCGTCATACATTCTTGCTCCTCTTCTTTAATTTCTTTCTTTTTCTTTCTTTCTTCTTCTACTCCTTTATCGTCTAATTCCTTTTTATATCTTTGGAATATCCTACTTCTTTTTTTAACTACTAAATCCCAAGGCGGCTGTCCCGTTATGGCGCACATTGCCTCCAGTGACACTGTTTTATAGGTCCTCAATAACCTACCTAGTGGTATTCTCTGTACCTTTCTTAGCTCGTCTACATTTATTCTGTATTTTAATGCTCTTTCCCATATTGGAGCTGCGTACATGACTACAGATTCCACCACCCGGTAATATAGAATCCTCGCCATGTCTCCGGCTCCTTTTGTATTAGCCTGTAGCGTACATAGGTGTATCGCATACTTAACGGCCTTGTTTGTACAGTTCTTAATGTGCTCTTTGAACACTTGGTTTTTTTCGAAAATTACCCCTAGGTATTTGGCGCTATTGCGTATTGCGATTTCAACATTATTAATGTTTACAGGGACTCCTTCTAGACATTTTCGACCCGTTAAAAGGATCACCTCCGACTTGTGCGGCTCCAGTTCCAGTCTTTCGCTATGGAACCATGGTAGTATATTTTTTATTGTTTGATCTGCTATAATCCTCATAGTCTCTAAGTCTTTTTCGATTATAATGATCTCTACGTCATCTGCGAAGGCAATCAGATATACATCTCTGATTCTTTTTATTTTTAGGAGCCCGTCGTAAACCAGGTTCCACATAAAGGGGCCTATTACGGACCCCTGCGGAACCCCGCCGAAAACTTGTATTCTATCGGAACCATCTGCTGCGTTTACAATGAGCCATCTATTTTTAAGATAGTCTTTGACTATTTCAATCAGTTCCCTCGGAAACCCTTTTTTTCTCATTTCCCTTATTATGCTCTTCCATTTTAGCGAATTGAAAGCATTCTTTACGTCTAACAGTATAAGGAGGCAATGTTTTCTTTTCTTTTTTGCTGTGTCCCATAGTTCCATCACCTTATCCATTGCATGGACTGTACTTAGCCCCTTTCTGAAACCGTACTGGTCCTTTGTTAGATCATTTTTCTCTAATTCTTCTAGTAACTTTTTCTTTATTGTGTATTCGAATATCTTTGCCATGTTAGATGCAATACATAGGGGTCTGAAATCCGATGGGTTCATTTTTCCGTCTATGTTATCCGTTGTCCTCTTTTTTTTCCCTTTTGAAAGTAGCACTAGCCGAGTCTCTTTCCACTTTTCTGGCCAATATCCCTTCTTTATACAACAATTTAGTACTTTCTGCAGCCTTTCAGCATTTCTTAGTCCTATTTCTCTGGCAGCCAAAGCCGGAATCCCGTCCGGTCCTGATGCCTTTTTCACCTGTATCTTTTTGCAAGCCTCTACTACATCTCTAAGTGTAATTTCTACTTTATTTGTTTCTGTATTATCTACTGTCCCTTTATCCTCAACTCTCTCGTACTCATCCTGTTTCATTATAAATAACCCCTTTACAATTTCTCTGGTTTGTTCTAAGTTCAAAACCACCGGTGCCGGTTCCGGTTTCATTTGCTTCATAATTGACTTGTATGGCCTACCCCAAATATCTTGATCCACCGTATCCATGAACTGTTTCCATGTATTCCTTTTCGCTTTTTTTATCGCATTCTTTAGTAATCTTTTCGCCTCTTTGTATCTATCTATTATTTCCCTCTCGTTAGTTTCCTTGCCGTTTTTCCTACTTCTTGTGGCTGTTCTCCTTATCCTATTTGCATCTTTTCTTAGTTTCGCTATCTCATCCGACCACCAGTACACTGGTTTTCTTTTTCCTACCTTACCTCTACTTTTCTTACTTTCGTTCCCTATACATTCTATATCGTTTATGAACTTCCTTACATCGTCTATGCTCTCGCATCTATATTCCTCTTTTTCCTGTTCGTCTCTAAACTTCTCCTCGCTTTTCTTTATAAATTCTTTTATATCAATTACCGATCTGATCTTTGTCTTTTTTTCTTTTTCAGGTTTTCCTCCCTTCAGTTCTACAATATGCCACAAATATTGGTGGTCCGATCCGGTGTACTCTGTGAGGACCTTGCTCTCCATAACTTTACATATCGGATATGGACTCGTGATTAATATATCCACCTTTGAGCCTCGTCCCCTCGTACATGTACTTCCACCCTCTGTATAAACGGGAAACAAACCTATACTAACGATGGCTTCCGCTATTTTCTTTCCCCTCTTGTTCCAGCCCTCACCCCCCCCCCCCCAAAGTGGTGACTTTCCATTTAAGTCTCCCGCCCAGAGGATTCCTATCCATTTCTTAGCTTTAACTATATCTAAGATTTCTCTTATTCTATTATCTGTTTCTATGTCGTCTATATTTGGTGAAATATAGCTACTAACAACCAGAAAATCATTATAATTTATAGCCACAAGTCCTATGCTTTGTTTTATGGCATTTATTTTCGTTGCCTTCGCAATTCCTGTATCTGTCACCCATATAGCCGCATCCCCCTTGCTATCATTATGCCAGTAGTCTAAGCTCCTATTTTGTTCAGATATTATTACTATATCTACGTCCCTTTCTTCTACTGCTTTACTCAGTAAGTCCTGCGCGGCCTTACATTTATTCAGATTTATTTGTAGCATCTTTATATCGAATTTTGTACTAGTTTACTCCCGCTTATCGCGTCTTTGTACACCGCACACCTTATCGACCCTGCGATATGGCTTACCGCATTCCCCGTCAGTCCCTTAGCCGTACAGAGTCTACAATGGGACCTTTCCGCCTTACACTCCGACATATTATGTCCTTCTATGCCACACCTTCTACATATAATTTTGTCGTCTTCCACTGCTGCGCACCGCGCATTTAAAACATCTTGTTTTACAACTATTGTGGCATTTAAAACATCTAATAATATCAGGTAGCTGTCGTACCCTACATCTTACCCATCCTATTTTTATTTTACCCTCCTTAATTCTTTCCTGTAGCTCTGCAGGCCCTTCCACAATTGCTATTTGTGTTCCCATGTATGCCTTTCGCAGAGATCTGCATTTCATTTCCTCTAAATTTATTTTGGAATCTTTGGCTAGTGCCTCTAATACCTCTTCCATATCTGCTGTCGGGTCTATATCCAAGACTTCTAACTTTATTTTTGGTACCAGTCTTTTTATGCCTGCTTCCGGCCCTAGTACTTCGATTGCCTTATCCCTAAATATGGTACTATCTGTTTTCTCATTGAACTCGACTAATAGGTCTCCCGTTCTAGTTTCCCTAATTCTTTTTATACCCTCTATATCGTTTCCCATTTTATTCTTAAGTGATTTAGTCACTTCTGCAAAAGTCTTTTCTTTTTCGACCCTGATTGTGACCGCCTCACCCTTCTTATTCTGTATCTTTCTCTTATTTTTTTCCTCACTCCTATATTCTACCCCTGTGTCTTCCTTTATACTATCTATTCTTTCCTTCCCCTTTTCTTTTTTCTCTGTTTTTCTCTTCTTTCTTTTTGCCGTCTCCCATTCGGACTCCGACGACTCTTTATTGTTTGCTTTCCTTATTATCTGGATATTTCTAATATTAGGCAGTATTCTATTACTTATCGTATTTGTTTTTGTTTTCTTTTTCATTGTTTCCGTCTCCGGAGGCGTAATATCTTTCCTCTTATTTAAATTTCCTTGTAACTCTTCCCCATTGTGTTCTTGTCTGTTTCTTTTCATACTTATTTGTTCCATTAGTTGCTTGTGTATTTCACTATTCGATTTTTCCTTTTCCCTTTCTTTTAGTTTTTCTTCTCTGTAAATAATTGTCACTGCTCTTGCTAGATCTTTTGCCTGCGCCAGTTCCTTTCCCATTTTTATGCTTGTATTTTTAGCGTCTATATTTGCATTTCTCATTCTGCATAAGTGTGCATTTACTGTCTCATGGTATTTCTGCAGCATTTCCAAGATTTGGCACAGTGATGACATAGATACTCCTACTCCTCCCATCTCTTCGTCATATTGGATTAACTCCTCGTTTCCTCTGTTAATCTCTGTTCTTGTCTCTTTCTGAGTTCCCTTGCTGTATTCGCTCGTATCCGTAAATGCATTGTCTTCTTCGTCTCCGGTAAACTCAACATCCGTTGCCATTATTTCCTCGCTGGCTCTAACCGGACTTCTTGACAACATTCTTACTGGCCTAAAGATCGCCATCATCTCCTTTGTCTTTTGACTGATATTTTTCTCCTTATCTTCCATTATTGGGGGTTGGTCTGGTACTTTAAAGTCCTCTCCCTCCCTCATAATGAACTCTCCTTTCTACCTTTACTCGTATCCTTTTTATTGCCCGAGGTCATCGTCGTTTTTTCCCGTCCTGTTACTTTTTGTTTTTAAGAGTTTAAGTTGTATTCATTCATTTGTATCCCACGAGTGTGGTCGGAATTAAACATCAGCCTGCGTAGAGCCGCCTTGCGCAGGTAAGCCTTTATTTCTCGGAGGGGGGGGACGGCAGGTACCCCCGAGGGGCCGTTCGAGGCTACACAATTTCAGTCCCTGTAGCCATGAGCCTATCGGCATGGTACCTCACACCTTAAGCTAGGACTTTTAGTCTGAGTCCGGTCCGACCTGTCTATTTTTCGTTCCGTGCCATGTAACCCGTAGATATAGAAATTACAAATAAAGTTCTTGTTATAAATGTTTTTAGTTTATATTTTCTTCCTTTTTTTGTTTTTCTCTTTAGGTTTACACCTCTTCCTGTTATGCTCATTTGTATTTGGCGGTTCCAGTCATGCGCACTCACGCGAGTTTTACGATGTATTACTACGCGGGTAGTTACGCACTATTCCCACCCCTGCTTTTACTGTTTCTTATGCCATTCATAGTTTACATAATTGCGTTTTATAGAATGACTGTATTCTGTGTTTGCATCACGTCGTGCTCGTGTTATAGTTTTATTGTCTGCCTCATTTTATTTTCAATTGCCTGTTTCGTTTCTCCGTGTGTTTTCTTGATAAACCTACATTGTTTTTAGTGACCTAAGATTTTTTTTTTTTTTTCCTTGTGTAAGGTGTACAAGTGTAATTTATTATACGTCTCCTGTCTATGCCAATACTACTTTTGCACTGTTTAGTTGTATGTATGCGTTTTCTATTTTCCATTCCTACACCCGCGTTTCTATCTTATTTTGTTTTCTTCTTTCTTTTAAGATTATGTTTATTCCCCTTTCTACCAATTTCCTTTATTATATTTCAGCTTCCTTTAATTCATTTATTTTCTATTGTCGACAAGCCAGCTATTTCTGTTTTAGCTTTTCTTTCCTATAATAAGATTATTTTTTGGCTTGTTCTCCACTAATGGGATACAGTACTTAGTTAGATATATACTTATTTATTTATTTACAAGTTTACACTACAGTATATATACAATACTTTACTCGTGTCTACGCCTAACGCCCGTCATATTACCAAGCATGTGTTATATGTTAAAAACAAATTCTATTTATCCAATACCATCTACTATCGTACCTTACCCCTTGTTGAATATTTTACCCTAGCTTACTTCTCTTTCCTAGTACTAGGTTTTTGGCAGATTTTGGTATCGCTACTCTTCCCCTATAATTTTAGCCTATTCTTGGCTTATTTACTATATCATATCATATACATTATTCTTATTAATCCTGTTCTCGTTGCCACTTTCTTTCTCCTTTATTCTTTTTGTTGCCTTACTTACTCCTTCTAGCATATGTGTTCCCTTTAGCTAATGGCAGAAATCATAACCTGTCGGTTATTTCACTTAATTTTTAGACTTATTTATTACTCAGATTTCATTTAAACTACTCAGTCTCTACTAGTTTTATTTCTCGTTCTTTTTACAATTATTTTTCCACACTTTTCTCATATTTTCTTTGTTATATTCGAGTTTGTTTCTGGTTCATCGATTATCTGTTGTCTGTTATAGACAAGCCACCTGTTTCAGTTTTAGTATATACTTTCCTATACTAAGATTACTTTGTTGTCTTACTCTTTGTTAATGAGATACAGTACTTAACTAATTATATATTTATTTATTTATTTACAAGTTTACACGATTACATTAAGTTATATATATACAGTACAGGGTCTACCATTTATCTCGCAACCCATGCGCGCGCAAATTGATGAAAATGGCAACAGCGCAAGAATTCTAGAGATGTAAAAATCCGTATAGTTAAGTTGGTAATTGATTCGGGATACACCGAGTACACCGAGTTTCATCGAACTTGTTGCGGCGTGTGAAACTAACACATATTCACGCCAGAGAGCCGATTGGCGAGGGGCACGCAAAGGAGGGATTGCAGCCAATTGACTGCCGTCGTGAATATGTGTTAGAGTCACACGCCGCGACAAGATCGATGAAACCCGATGTACTTGTATCCTGAATCGAATCTCGGACCACAGTTCAGTTGATTACCAACTTAACTGTACGGTTTTTACATCTCTCGAATTTTAACGCTGTTGCCATTTTCATCAATTTGCGCGCGCATGGGTTGCGAGATAAATGGTAGACCCTGTACACGATCCTACTATTTTACCAAATATTTCCAGTCCTTTTCGTATCATAATCTATTTACCTACGTGGACTGTGCTCTCGGTGCGTCTGCAATCTCCGATGGTCGGACCAGACTCCATTATTACTATATCTACAATAGATCACAGCCGACTCTAGTACTAGCCATGCTGAACAACGTGGCAACACCGCTCACGTGACAATCGGGAGTCCTATTTTCAAAAACAGAGTCCTGTGCTCGGAATTGTAATTAACGTCTTTTTTAATTAAAAGCTGTAGTATTATACACTATTTGGTGTTAATTATGTATAAACAATATATAAACGTTGTAACTATGGCAAATAGAAGTGATTTGGTAGTATAAAATTGTTATAAATGTGATATATATTTTGTGTACTCTCAAAGTAGTTTGATGTTGTGAAGCACGATATTTGAAATATTTACAGTGGTTTCAAGAAAATTTAGGTATGAAGCAAAATGAAACCATCTTTGGATCAAATTGAAACATTTAAGAATTGATAAACGTGTATATAAGTTAATAAAAACCTTGAAACAAACGAAATTATTGGAACGAAACCAAAGAGGTTATGTGAAGTCCAGAGAGTAGTCGGGAGTCTGACGACATTGATTGGTTGAGAGTCTGGGAGTCCGGGAGGCAGATAGAGTCGGGTAGGTGTTGATATATTCATACCGGACTCCCGCGGTGTTGCCATTTTTACTTCAGCACAGCTAGTACTAGAGTCGGCTGTAAATAGATATAATGTAATATACTGATTCCCCCCCAGAGAGCAGTATACCATTAATAATGTTGCGATCCTCCCCGGTTTAAGAGAATATAGATGCGAAACATGATGTGAACCAGGCTGTATGAACTATGAACTAGCTTGTAAAGACAGTTGAATGAGGAAACTGAAGCGCGTTAAATTTGAATTATAAAAGAAAATCAATTTTGCGTTATCAAATTGTTATCAAGGATTCCTTATCAGTAGCTCGTTTAGAAGAAGAAGATCGGCTTATCGTTATCAAAATGTTTATCAAGGACTAAATTAATGAGCGTTGCTAATGGCAATTTACTTAACGATCAGCAGCTATAAATAAGGGATCCTTCCAGAAAATTTCGTCCTTTATTCTTTGTAAACGATTAAGAGAAGAGCACGTATAAAACATTAACTTACAATTCAATTTATTGTTCTCGTTCAAATATATTAAAGTTAAAGTGAAACGTTAATAAAAGTTCAGTTCATTTTAAATAGTTTAAAGTTAGTTTTCTTTTTCTTTAAAATTATTATCGTGAGCAGAGTGCTTTAGCGCTCCACGGGCGGCTTATCCACGATCCTTGGATTTAAAAATCCCTAGAAGAGCGAAGAATCGCGCAACAATAACAATATCATTATTACTATATCTACAATAGATATAATGTCATATAGTGATACATTCCAACAGATCAATGTACCTACATTTAATACCAATGTCATTATTACCATATCTACACTAGATATATCGTAATATACTGATTCATTCCCACAGATCAATGTACATTTAATAACAATATCATTATTACCATATCAACATAGGATATAATGTAATATACTGATTCCTTCCCACAGATCAATGTACAGTTAATAACAATATCATTAGTAATATATCTACATTCGATATAATGTAATATACTGATTCCTTCCCAGAGCGCAGTGTACCTTTAATAACAATATCATTCGTACTATATCTGCATCTGATATGTAATGTACATCTAATAACAATGTCATTATTACTGTATCTACGTGGATATAATGTAATATACTGATTCCTTCGCACTGATCAATGTACATTTAATAACAATATCACTATTACTATATCTACATTCGATATAATGTAATATACTGATTCATTCCCACAGATCAATGTGCGTTTAATAACAATGTCATCAATACTATATCTACGTGGATATAATGTGATAATCTGTGTTCCGACCGTTCGACGGAACAGATGTACGAGAATTTCTAAAGGGAGTTTATGACAGTTCTTCGACGAAAAGCTATTTTTGATTTTAAGTTTAGAGTTTAGAATAACCGCTTACCTTCTTTGAATAATAGAGTCCGATTTTAGTTTTCGTTTTTGTCCTCAATAGCTCCGCTCATGTCATAAACTGGGCTTTCCGAAGGGTAAATTAAAATTTCGGTATTTCGTAACGGTACCCCAACCTTCGAGTGTCAACCTGGATGAAAAAACCCCGGCGTAGCGGGACTTTCGAGGTACTCGTGCACTCACCGACATCGCCCCACCCTCTCTAGACGATGACGCGCTAAGGGCGCTAGAGAGGGTGGGACCGATTTTCAGGGGGATACGCCGATTGGAATTTTGACTTTTCGTAGGAAAACCAATCAGCGCGTTATTCCCCAACTTGACATCTCCAAGAGAGATGATATAGAGGCGTTCGTAACGCGACGAGGGCACTTCGGCTTCTTCTTCTTCTTCTTACAAGTTTTCGGTAACCAGAAGAGGAACATTTAGACGTAAAATAACTGCGACATAGCCATCGTTTCGGACACGTTTTTTATCATCTGGTCTCATCGTCTTTTCGGAGACCAGAATAGACAATTAATTAATGGAAATTAATTTTAAAATTAATACGACGTTTCGGGCAACCCACGAAATTGCCACGAGTCACGACATGGTCCTTCGAGCCGGATCCGCGATCTGAGGAGTGCAGTGCATAGACAGTGTACAGTGACGTACGGATCCTTTCGTTAAATAAAGAAAGACAACAAATTGTGGTGAAATAAGACCACACAGCAACAGATCTGACACGGAGCAGCTCTGGTTGGAAGTTTCATATCAAAGGAAAATCATCGGTCAGGATGTGACGTACAGCAGTTGGACATCCAGTGCCTGGAAGCTGTGCAGCCATTTACAACCGGTGGCACCCGTCGACGGCAACATTTCGAGCCCAAGACAACTGCAACACGCAGAATCAACCAAAGGTAGGCTCGTTAGTCACGAATTACCAATCAGAACCTATCTCGTTATACTTTCTCCTTTTCATTGTTTGTTATCCTTAATCTCTCCGTCTCGACAAAATGGCGACCGGGAGCACGAGCGTGTTAGATAAAACGAACGCACGCATTCGGGATCTCAAACAAAAGCGACGAATTTTTAAATCCCAATGCACGATGTTTGGGAATTACGTCGACGCATTCCAAGATTCCGTGAAGGAACGCGTAAAATTGCGGGAACGTATACAGAGGTTGCGAAATCAATTCGAAACTTTCAACGCGATTCAAGACGAATTAGCTCTTATCGATAATTTTGACGAAGCCGAAAACGAACGTCAAACTACAACAGATCATTTTGATGACATAATGACCAACGCGATCGTATTGTTAGAACGTTTTGAGCGATCCGCAACTCCATCTCCACAGCTGCCAATCGATCCGATGTTAAGAGGATCACCAGCGCCATCGTCATCAATGTTTTCATTGCCGGTTCATTTACCGAAAATCGATCTTCCGAAATTTGACGGCCGAATCGAAACCTGGGTAACGTTTTAAAACGCATTTAACACTTTAATCCATGTACAACCGGGTCTGAGTCGCATTCAGAAGTTACATTATCTCAAACTTTCATTGTCCGGACGAGCTGAAGACGCTATCGCAGCTTTTACTATTACCGAAGATAATTACGATGCCGCGTGGAATCCCTTGTCTGAAATTTACGACAATAAACGGGCACTCGTTTTGCGTCACGCCGCCCTTTTGCGAGATACACCCGCGATGTCTGACGATTCGTCGGAGGCAATTCGAGACCTCGCGAATCACATGCAACTCCACATTCGATCGTTGCATGCATTGGGTAGGTCGCGGGAAGATATAGCAAACGATTTGCTATTGAGCATCGTAATTTCGAAGATGGGACCGGATACGCGACGGGCGTGGGAATGTACTTTGTCTAACACCGAGGTACCGAAGTTGGATATTTTCAAATATTTACACAACGCATCGCATCAAACAAAGGAGTATCAAGCAGCAACTCTTAAACCACGATCGCATCAATTGCCGGAAAACATAAAACCACGATTAACTCCATCGCGTTCGTACAATTTGCGTCCACACGCGTCCCCTTCGTGTAATCGTCAGCAGGTTTTCGTAACAAATAAACCAAGTCCACGCACGTCGCCAATTACGCAAGTACGTCAATCGACTGCTACCGCTAACGTCGAGTCAGCATCTTCCAAAACGAAGAGATCTGTCGCCGAAAATGATTGTAAAATTTGTTTTGGACAACACGCCGCGTATCGATGTCCAAAATTCATTGAGATGGAGGTAGTGCATCGTATCGAAGCCGCAAAAAGGCACGATTATGTATGAATTGCCTTCGATCCGATCATCCGACGGAAAATTGTAACTTCGGAAATTGTCGCGTCTGCAATCAAGCGCATAACACGAAGCTACATCAAGACATGCAAACGACTACGGCAACGAGAATCTGACCGAGGGATTCACCGGATTCGCGTTTTGAACACGGGGCTACGTTAGTCACCGACGTACCTGCACACGGATTAATGGCTACCGCGATAATTTATGTTATGGATCGCGATCAAAAACCAATTGAATGTAGGACGTTAATCGACACATGTTCCAACGCAAATTTCATCACGGAAGATCTAGCATCAAAATTAAGACTTCCGGCGAAACAACACACAACGACAATAGAAGCCTTAAATCAATTAAGCACCGTAACCACACAGATCGTTTCGACCAGCATTAAATCCCGATTATCGAATTTCAAGAGAACTCTGACATTCATTACGATACCGCTAATCTCAGGACCGATACCAGATCAGCAAATTGACCGCGGTAAAATTCCGATTCCCGCGAATATTAATTTAGCCGATCCGCACTTTCACCGACCAACATCCGTCGATATGCTCTTAGGCATCGATACGGCCTTAGCATGTTTGAGCGTCGGTCAAATAGATATCTCTCCATCTAATAAAACCGATTTGATACTCCAGAAGACATTATTCGGATGGATCATCGGGGGGAGTCTATCTACTTCAATGGCAAGGCATAAGGTCTTTCTTACTACTCCAAATTTCGACCTGAAGAAATTTTGGGAATTAGAGGAGGGTCCTCAGGTACGATACCTGTCTGCCGAAGAACAAGAGTGCGAAGAGCATTTTCGGAATCACACCAAGCGGGATAAATCAGGTCGATATATTGTAGCATTACCCTTTAACGAGAAATATACGCTATTGGGCGAGTCTCGGTCGCGCGCTCTGAACCGTTTTCTGTCGTTGCAAAGGAAATTCAATCGTGAACCGAAATTAAAATGCGAATACGCCAATGTAATTCAAGAATATCAGGATCTTGGTCACATGAGCGAAGTTCAGCCGAATGAACGAGACGATTTCTACCTGCCTCACCACGCGGTCATAAAACCTTCAAGCGCAACTACAAAGGTTCGTGTCGTTTTCGATGGGTCGGCCAAAACGAGTAGCGGCCTATCACTCAATGACCCCTTGATGGTTGGACCTACTATTCAGGATGATATTGTTCTATTATTAATTCGTTTTCGGATGCACGCTTTCGTCTTGACTGGCGACATAGAAAAAATGTACCGGCAGTTTCTTGTACGACCCGAAGGTCGTCGGTATCAACGAATTCTATGGCGCAGCGATGACGGCAAGGTCAAGACATATAATTTGAACACGGTCACTTTCGGATTGACATCTGCACCGTACCTCGCGATTCGATGTCTCCACCAACTGGCGGACGACGAGGGGAACAGGAATCCAGCGGCGGCACGAGTTATAAAACAGGACCTTTACGTTGATGATCTGCTCACGGGCGCAGACACCTGCGGGGGGGCTATGAACTTGCGAGATGGAATCATCGATATCCTCAAACGTGGAGGATTAAATATTCGCCAATGGGCTTCGAACGAGCCACAGCTTCTCTCCGGACTCGACGAAGCACAGATCAGTAAGAAATTCTTAGGAGATTCCACTCTCAAGACCCTTGGTGTAATCTGGGATGCGCAAAACGATAAAATCCTATATACAATCGATCCGATAGTGGCAAATAGGGTAACGAAGCGAACAATTTTGTCATCGATTGCAAAAATCTTCGATCCGTTAGGTTTACTTGCGCCGGTCATTATCAAAGCCAAAATTTTAATGCAGCGTTTGTGGCAACTGCAATTGGACTGGGACGAAGCGACACCAGCCAATCTTCATACAGAATGGATTACTTTCGCAGCGGAATTCAATTTCTTAAACAATTGTTCTTTCGATCGACACGTTTTACAACACGTAGTAAGTAAGACTGAGCTTCATGGCTTTTGCGACGCGAGCGAGCGAGCCTATGGTGCCTGCATTTACGTGCGTACGGTGACCAAATCCGGAAACATTAAAACGGAATTACTGTGTGCAAAATCGCGAGTTGCACCACTGAAAACAGTCAGTCTTGCGCGTTTAGAATTATGTGGAGCTGTACTCCTCTCCTTTTTGTACAATACGGTTACGAAAGCGACGTCACGGAATTTCGACACGAGTACATTTTGGACAGATTCTACAATTGTTTTAAATTGGATTAATAAGGAACCTTCGACATTGAAGACGTTCGTAGCGAATCGCATCACCGAGGTACAATCGAAAACCGACATCAACGCTTGGAAACACGTTAAATCAGCCGATAATCCGGCCGATCTGATTTCAAGAGGACAATCGCCGTCGCAGTTCCTCGCAGACTCCATTTGGCGTCATGGACCACAGTGGCTCGCCAGTGACGAATCGACTTGGCCAGAGTCTAAATACACGATTATACCTGAAATTTTGGAAGCGCGACCGCTCGCGTGCTTCGCAACCGTTATTAATCAGGATGATCAAATTTTAAACAGATACTCGTGTATTGAAAAACTTTGAAGAATAGTGGCATATTGTTTGAGATTTCGCGCGACACCTAAACATAAGGGACCACTATCGATCGAAGAGATTCGCAACGCGAACGAGCGAATCATCAAAATGGTCCAATCTTCTTCTTTCGCACAAGAAACAAAAGAATTAGGAAACGAATCCGGATTACAATCATCGAGTAAACTTTTACCGTTACACCCTTTTCTCGATGAAAGGGGCATACTTCGGGTCGGAGGTCGCCTACAAAATTCAACGATACCCTTTGAAGAAAGACATCCGATACTCTTACCGAAGAATCATCACGTTGTCGATTTGATTTTTCGGAACGCTCATTTGGAGGGTTATCATCTTGGAATTAATTCAACCCTGTATACCGTTCGACAGCAATATTGGCCCATTGACGGCAAAAACACCGTACGAAAGGTTGTCCGTCGATGCATCAGGTGTTTCCGTTTGAACCCTCCAGCCACAAAGTACATAATGGGAAATCTACCTGCTACGCGCGTCTCCGAAAGTAGACCTTTTTCCAATTGTGGTATAGACTATTGTGGTCCGTTTTATATTAAAGAGCGACGAATACGAAACCGCTCTCGAGCCAAAGTGTATATCGCTGTTTTCATTTGTTTTGCAACAAAGGCCATACACTTCGAGGTTGTAAGCGATATGACCACCGAAGCGTTGATTGCCGCCTTAAAAAGATTCATCGCGCAAAGAGGAATCTGTCAGAATATCTATTCAGATAATGGGACAAATTTCGTTGGGGTCAGCAACGAAATCATTGACATCCATCGGACGCTTCAAAGGGACGACAAGGTACGACACTTTCTCACCGATAAGAGAATTTCATGGCATTTTATGCCAGCCTTATCTCCCAATTTTGGTGGTTTGTGGGAAGCTGCGGTAAAATGCTTTAAACACCATTTAAAACGCGTCGTCGGTGAAGAATTGTTCACGTTCGAACAATTCAATACGTTCGTCATTGAAATTGAGGCGATTCTCAATTCTCGTCCTCTTACTCCATTATCCTCTGATCCAAACGATCCATCAGCGTTAACACCTGCACACTTTCTGATTAGTAGTTCTTTAACGAGTATGCCCGAGGTTGATTTCAGCGAAACACCTTCCAATCGTCTTTCGAAATGGCAACATATTCAGAAGGTGAAGCAGAATTTTTGGTCCAGGTGGTATAAAGAATATATTCACCAGCTAAACGTTCGCCAAAAATGGACCAAGGGGTCACACGAGATCAAGAAGGGATCCCTGGTGGTCTTGAAGGATGACCATCTACCACCACTACAATGGCATCTCGGCCGTATCGAAGAGGTTCATCTCGGACAGGACAACGTCATCCGAGCGGTAACAGTACGAGGGCCTAGTGGAGTCTATAAACGAAACGTGAAGCAACTGGCGCTATTGCCAATTCAAGAAGTGGTGTAACGTGTCGTAATATTAACGAATATTAATCGAACTTTAATTAGGAACTATAATCTTTATCATATAAGTAGTATAGTATAGTATATTATATTGTAATCTTTGCGCGCGTATTCAGATTAATACTCTTCTAAATCTAGATAAATAATTCGCGATAATTTAACAGTTCTAGATAATCACGTTCGCGAATCTTGATCAATTCGGCTGATCAACGGGGGGAGCATGTTCCGACCGTTCGACGAAACAGATGTACGAGAATTTCCAAAGGGAGTTTATGACAGTTCTTCGACGAAAAGCTATTTTTGATTTTAAGTTTAGAGTTTAGAATAACCGCTTACCTTCTTTGAATAATAGAGTCCGATTTTAGTTTTCGTTTTTGTCCTCAATAGCTCCGCTCATGTCATAAACTGGGCTTTCCGAAGGGTAAATTAAAATTTCGGTATTTCGTAACGGTACCCCAGCCTTCGAGTGTCAACCTGGATGAAAAAACCCCGGCGTAGCGGGACTTTCGAGGTACTCGTGCACTCACCGACATCGCCCCACCCTCTCTAGACGATGACGCGCTAAGGGCGCTAGAGAGGGTGGGAACGATTTTCAGGGGGACACGCCGATTGGAATTTTGACTTTTCGTAGGAAAACCAATCAGCGCGTTGTCCCCCAACTCGACATCTCCATGAGAGATAATATAGAGGCGTTCGTAACGCGACGAGGGCACTTCGGCTTCTTCTTGTTCTTCTTACAAGTTTTCGGTAACCAGAAAAGGAATATTTAGACGTAAAATAACTGCGACATAGCCATCGTTTCGGGCAAGTTTTTTATCATCTGGTCTCATCGACTTTTCGGAGACCAGAATAGACAATTAATTAATGGAAATTGTATAATACTGCGACTTGAGATCGTTGTGTCGATCTTAGATGTCTCAGTTATCCTCGAATAAATTAATATTCGAGAATTGTTTTATGTTGAATGATTGGGAACAGTTGATTTGTTTAATATGAATTGTATTTAATAACTAATTGTATGATACAATTAAGATGAGAGTGTATGTTTCCGAGGTGTTATCAGTGTGAAAGTTGTCAGAGTTCTGGTTCTGCTTTTTTCGAGTGCGTGTATAAAAGGAAATGATCTATGCCTAGAACTATTGCTGATTGGTGGAGAAAATGTGGTGGGGATGTGAAAGAGTAGAAGTGAAGCCATCGATGAGTTGCCGTGGGTTTTTCCACAATTTTTGGAAATTCCTTAATTTGTAAGTGCTGAGCGCCTAACGGTACGCGACCCCAATCAAGGGTAGTCGACCAGGCGTCGGTTTTATGACCTTTTGTATAATTTTTACCTGATGGTTGTTTGCCGGGACCTGAAGGGTCTGCGAGGCAACAGAAATTAATTTTAAAATTAATACGACGTTTCGGGCAACCCACGAAATTGCCACGAGTCACGACATACTGATTGCTTCGCACAGATCAATGTACATTTGATAACAATATCATTAGCACTATACCTACATTCGATATAATGTAAAATACTGATTCATTCCCAAGTATCAGTGTACATTTAATAACAATATCATTATTACTATATCTACAATAGGTATAATGTCATATTGTGATACATTCCAACAGATCAATGTATATTTAATAACAATATCATTAGCACTATATCTACATTCGATATAATGTACCATACTGATTCATTCCCAAGTATCAGTGTACATTTAATAACAATATCATTATTACTATATCTACAATAGGTATAATGTCATATTGTGATACATTCCAACAGATCAATGTACCTACATTTAATACCAATGTCATTGTTACCATATCTACATGAGATATAATGTAATATACTGATTACTTCCCACAGATCAATGTACATTTAATAACAATGTCATTATTTCTATATCTACGTGGATATATTGTAATACCCGTTTAATAACAATATTATAATTGCTATATCTACATTAGATATGTAACATACATTTAATAACAATGTCATTATTACTATATCTACGTTGGACATAATGTAATATACTGATTCCTTCCCACAGATCAATGTACAGCGTGTAAAAACATTAAATGTCCCGACCTATATGGGGTGATTCTACATCTCTGGATCGGTAGAGATCTGTCAAAGAAACCGACCTCAAAATTCACCTTGGCCCCTAATTTCAATGTGAAATATTTTTATTAGCTTATCGTATAGTGCTTATCGAGGGGATAAAAAGTCTGAAAGGAACTATGTGCCGGAAATCAACCCTTCCCTTATAAGAAAGCCGTCAAAGTTTCCGTATACGTTAATGCATTAAACGTTAAGTCACGCGGTACCCCTCTCCAGTGATCTTGGCGCGTCAGTCTCGCGTATCGCTCGAATTTCATGCTATGGGACAATTCTTGAATTTCAATCACAATGCCAGCATTTAGGTAGGGTAAATTCTAAGAAGAACATATTTAAAAAGACGAAGAGCTACTGCGTGTAAACGAAAATAAAAATGAATTTAACTGATTGAAGTTTTACACTTCGAATATAAACGCAAGATAAATGTATAGTTTTATCATTTCACAGTTCGTTAACACATCGCAGTTACGCAGTTAATGCATCAGTTAATTATTACGCAAAGGACTGCATCAAACATTCGAATCTCGTGAAATATATCATTATATTCATTATTGTTGCAATTTGCAAAAGACAATATAAATGAGTTTTATTCGCAGAAGTTTTGCATTTAAAGTATAGATGCAAAGGTTGTTGATCGAGGAACAAAAATTCGTATTAGTTGCTGCACCATTGGTCTTGTCTCGGAAATGAGGTTTTCAGTGAACCGAGTATACCAAATCAGCTCGTTCTCTCCGAGAGTGATGATAAAATTCTATTAGTTCTGGAAATCATTTTATTTATAATGTGCGTATATTTTGTTGTCAAATCCAAGGTTGAAAGCATCGGCTCCGCATAGAAACAGGTCGTGATCCCAGCTTCCCCACTAAGCATTTTATTTTCTCGTTCTTACACTTTTTTTGCTGCTGCTTGTTTCCTTTCTCTTTTCCTCCCATTCTTGCTTTCTATCTTTCCTACTTCCTTCTTTCTATTTCCGTCTTTCCTTCCTTCGTTCGTTCCTTCAATCCATCCTTCTTCCTCTCTGCCGCTCTTTGTTTCTGTGCTTCTTTCTTTATGCCTGGAGGTCGAGCGTCATAAAAAGTATCGGATCAGCATTACACGTGAATTGGTGTAGGTTCTATGCGAACGGCCACTCGGTTGTTGAACTTGTAGATGTGGTGTTCACCCCATCTCTATTCTTCTCCCTGTTTTCCTTATTTCCTTTCTTTCTTTCCTCTGTAGTTTTTAAGACTTCAATAGGAAACGCCTCCATCTCGCACGGTTTCGAACTCCGTAAAAAGGCAGTTTATTCGGAACCACGAAACAGTGAACATGCCGAAATATAAAAATATTCGAGTTATGTTGCGTGCTATTGACGAAGCGGGACGAAATTATTCTTTAGCTCGTAAGATTTGTCGTGATTTAGTGCGGAACAATGGAAGACGATTACACCTCAACGAAATTCCTGATAGACGAGATTTTGCGCGACTAGATTATCAATTCGGGGAGCAGGAAATCGTGATGCAGCTTGCTACAAGACGTAATGGAGCAGGTCGACCTCGAGTGCATTGGCAGAAAGAAGAAAAAGCTACAGCTCTCGCAAGAGCTTATCCACTGATGGGGTTACGGAGCATCGCGAGAAGAGTAGGAATCTCGCACATTACAGTGCGGCGTATAATACGCGAAGAAGGTCTGCGACCATATAAAATTCGACGTGTCCAAGCCTTACGCCCTAATGATTATGCCACACGGCGAGAATTTTGTAACTGGATGTTACATAAATTGCGACACGACCCACGCTTTTTGGAACGTGTCCTATTCTCGGATGAGAGCAGCTTGTCGAGTAGCAACACCTTCAATCGGCAGAATGCGTGGATTTGGGCGTAACGCAACAGCCATGCGATGATGGAGCAATTTAATCAAGGAAGATTCACCGTTAATGTCTGGGCAGGCACCATTGGCAACCATATTATCGGCCCGATCTATTTGCCGACACGGTTAACCAGTGCAACATATCTTCAATTTCTAAGATCGAAACTCTTGAGTGAACTGCGGCACATCATTCCGCAAAGTCAACGTAATTCAACCTATTTTATGCACGATGGTGCTCCACAGCACTCTAGCCGAATGGTGCAACAGTTTCTAAATCAAATGTTTGGATCGCGATGGATAGGACAAAGATCTCCCTCCCATGTGTGAGCTCCCCGTTCACCGGATTTGACACCACTGGATTTTTTCCCCTGAGGAGCCGTGAAAGACATCGTTTATCGCTCAGGTGGAGAAATTACATCGGTCCCACAGTTGAAACGACGGATTGAATACGCATTCAACCAAATTAAATTAACTCTCAACATCGGGGAAAAGATATGAAGAAATATCGAGCAGCGTGTGCCTGCATGTTTGTGCAACAGTGGTGGACACATCGAAGCCGGCACGCAGGCACGTGGTGTCAAATCCGGTGAACGGGGAGCTCACACATGGGAGGGAGATCTTTGTCCTATCCACCGCGATCCAAACATTTGATTTAGAAACTGTTGCACCATTCGGCTGGAGTGCTGTGGAGCACCATCGTGCATAAAATAGGTTGAATTACGTTGACTTTGCGGAATGATGTGCCGCAGTTCACTCAAGAGTTTCGATCTTAGAAATTGAAGATATGTTGCACTGGTTAACCGTGTCGGCAAATAGATCGGGCCGCTAAGATGGTTGCCAATGATGCCTGCCCAGACATTAACGGTGAATCTTCTTCGATTAAATTGCTCCATCATCGCATGGCTGTTGCGTTACGCCCAAATCCACGCATTCTGCCGATTGAAGGTGCTGCTATTCGACAAGCTGCTCTCATCCGAGAATAGGACACGTTCCAAAAAGCGTGGATCGTGTCGCAGTTTATGTAACATCCAGTTACAAAATTCTCGCCGTGTGGCATAATCATTAGGGCATAGGGCTTG